ATTTATCATTAGACTGTAGCAGTAGATTCGGCCAGTGAGCAAATTAAACCCTGGACAAAAAAGTGGTAAACACAGGGTTGTACTAGACCGAAACTACTACACGCACAACCACTTGGGTAAGGATTGCCTGGATATAAAGGGCCCCTGCAGAAAACAGGCATAAATAAACAAACCAGGCGACAGGAACGCATGCAAGAATGTCGAATTTTGCACTAAATGGAGCATAATTCAAAAGCGTATTCTTGCATGTGTGATGGGAGGCGCCTTGTAAAATCTGCATATCCGAAGCCAGATAAGAGTAGATTTTCAGATTTCTCAATTAAAAAAACGATTTTAAAGCCTTTTAGAGCAATATAACGCTATAGACTGAAAATACAGGAAGCTCGCGATCTGTGTCTCAATGGATCACACATGCATGCGTGAAATATCTCAAGGTCAATTGCGCTTCAAAGACGGTGGTATATCTATTTGGCTAAGGGCGCAGACAGGTGCGGCCTATCTGATGCCGAGATACGAAGACGAAGACCGAATTATACTCGACAGCAAGTAAATAACAAGTAACTTGTAACAAGTTTGTACTGCAGTTTGCTCTTATTCCAACCTTCAGTCCCTACTTTTTCACGGTCCCCGCCTAAAAAGACGATATTTTAGGAAGGAGGATTAAAATAATTACTCTAAATACGCAATATGCAGGCAAAGAACTACTTTTGGGGACTTCCTTCGTGCGATTAAGTATAAATCCAAATTGGATTCGAGTTGAGTAGAGTGAGACCTCGGTTAACGAGTTTGATCCGTTCGAGCACCGTGCCCGTCATGTGAAACGCTCGGCTTGCGAAACGTAGCCAACCAAACTGCATCAGTTCACTAATTTTCTGCAGGCGATGGAGGACCCTTACCCTTGGAGTAATAATTAACGTCGGACATAGGCATACACACCCACTGATAACTGATAAAGGAAGTTCGTCAATCGAAATACTTTTTGTGCTAGTGACTCGCTCGTTACCTGTAATCCTCGTCACTCGAAGCTCCAATGTAAGTCCGTTTGCTGGCATGTCTGCGTCTACATAATGTAAACTAGACCTCTTTTTAGTAGGCATAGAAACTTATCATATGCAATATTCGGATGTCCATAGAGACAGAGGGAAAAGCCTTGGTGGCATGTGTGACGGAAAATTTCAGATGATCTTATGTTAACAAAACTGCTCCTACAAGAGGGGCAATGTGGGTTTGTCGTGTAGACTTAGTTTAACCTCAACAACCCACTGTCATCACTTTATATGAAAGGGGATAGCCGTTTCGAAATCATCTGTTATGGCTGACTAATTTAGTCTAAAAAGGCAAAGAGTGTCTGTATATCGCCGACCTTGTGCGACTGCACGACGCCAGTGTGAGGAGTTTGCCTCAGCAGTTGGTCAACTGGTGTTCTCTGTGTTTTTTTCTCTTAATGGAAAACGCCCGTTACTATTTGCTTAACTGATAACGTCTTACACTGCTGTTCCTTCGAAGCTTTCGGTATTCTAAGTTTTTTTCCTATAAAATATCTTTTTGTAAAGCAAACAATAGGTGGCGGTTTTTGTGCACTATAGCTCAGTGCGCGTTTGTGCACCATAAGACGTTTAACAGTAGATCAGTTTACTGATTGCCTAAAGATAGACCATCGCGGGAATAAAATAAAGCATCCGCTGAATTAAACTAACTGTAACTTTCATAGAGGTCATTATAAACAACATTTTCCTTATTTTCCTTATTTGTCTTATTATTTATTGGTAAGGTAAAGGACGCTGCTTCTCTCCTTCCCCTGTATCGAACCGATAGTTGTGAATTCTCTTTATATGTTATTTTTGCTGCAATAACCACTTTAATCGTCAGGCAAATTAATTAAACCTCATCATTTTTGCGGCATTTTGTCAGAAGTGACTCAATCCCTAAAAAATGGTTGACTTATGAGCGAATATATAAACAGATGTAACAGACCGTCTTGATAGAACTAGCTTTGGGAGTAGAATGTCTCGATTGGTCACAGTCATGCTCAGTTTCATCAAGCTGTCCTTTAGCAATTACTAATAACAGTAGGTATCTTCTTCCTGTTTCATGCTTTCGCAGCCTAACAATTTTTTTCGATGCACGTCCAGACTTATCGTCTTTCAACTTAAATAAGTTTTTACAGACTTAACTGTTTAGTTTTAATTCCCTATGGAAACCACGAGTAAGCCCATTTATGCTAAAGAACAAAATACTAACAACATGCGTTAACGAAGAGTCTCATACCAGCTTGCAATTGAGACCGCGGGAAGAGATTCCCTAAATCCTACATGTTCCACTAATAACGACTTCGAAAGAACGGCATTTTCCAATAAACTATTTCTATTTTATCAGTTTTTACGTTCATTTGGGCAGGTACATTGAACTTTTAATTTCATTCGCGATTTGCAGCCAACTATACCAATGGCAGCGGGTATAATTTCGCCGGCTGTGAATAAGCAATCGCCTTTTCTCGTCTTGAACGTCGGTTCTATTAAGTGCTTATGACCCAGTGTGAGGACTGTCTGCGCCGTACTCGAACGCATGTTTGTGTGAGCAGTCCCGGCTGGTAGTCAGGGTTATTATCGGTTGCATATAAGCAGAAGAAGGCCGAAACAGACTGTATAAATCTACCCGCATTTTCTGTCGACAATCTTCTCTACAGTGATAACTCAACCGATTTCGGCCAGATGGTTGGTTACCTGTTCGTGATATTTGCCACTCGTGCGGAACTTTGTTTACTTTGAGAAGGTACTTCATAATTTGGCGCCCATTACGGTTTCAAATTGCAGATACTAACAGTCGGGTGGGCTCTTTAAATGATCGCGCATCAGTATCCAAAGTGGCAAACAATTTGACGGTTGAATGGCTCCTATATATTCAATGTTTCATTCTACTGAGAACAAAATACATGATCAGAATGAACGCGTCACTACGTTAGCTTTTCGTATCAATGATCAGTGGTTCGTTTTTAACAATTTGAAGGGCATGAGCCTACTATCTAAGTATACTGGTTTAATTTGCTTCGTTGATATAGATGGTAATATTTACTTTCATACCGCTTTTGAGAAAAGAATACCCGCCACTTATGTAGGATGTAAAGAGATACGATTTAAATGTATCCGCAAGCAAGGATTAAAAATAAAAACAGGATATGGGCCAGTCGACGAATGGCTTGATTTTTAGATCTAGGTGTCATCAATTTTTAAATAATTCATCATTTTCCAAGAATGCTGACAAAGCTAGATGCGGCCTAAATGAATGAAGTTTAATTTAATGGATGTTTCAGGATAGGCATTTGTTCAGTCATCATAACCTTCAACCTCTACGATTATCTCATATTCCATCTTTGTTCGAGAGACGTACTACATCCAGCTGAGCGTCGTTGGCGTGATCTAGGGCTCTCTGAGGCAGACTTAGCTGTCGCGGAATTAGCATTTTATACCCGCTACCGATTGGGCAGTCTGAAAAGCGATGCATGCAAGCTTTCAACTTTTATTTTGCTACATATCTGTGTCTATATGCTGAGAGCTAACCGTTCACTATCTTCTATAAACGGCAACTGATGGATTTTCCAGGGCGGTTGTCTTCTAGAACTGTCAAGGCATGCAGCCGAAGGCAAGCACAGCTTAACTGAGAACTAATTCTTTTAAGATCATACTTTAAGACGCATATGTAATTCATATCAAACTTTCTGAAAGGGCATCCTTTTAGCACAGCGAATTAATTTACTGGTAATGGACATGTACGCATCACTATTTATTATCTCATATTTGGTTTTAAGAACGTCAGACAGTTTTGATTTACTTTTCATTGACTTTGGAGCTTAAGATCTATAGGCAAAAATGAATTAATCAATAAGATAAAATTTAGACCTATCGCAGTCTTTGACAAGTCATGTTTGATATTAATCATAGGGAGGTTTAGACAAATACAAGATATGAACTAGCACAAAAGTAAGTCAACGTAAAGTGCAATCGAGTAAGAGGCATAGAATGTCATTAGAAATTATCGTAGTTAGAGGTACTGCGCCTAGCTTGTACTCGAAAAATATGCTGAGCACAGTAAACGTCGGAGCAAGATCAGATACTCACTGTTGAGAATACTAGCTTCAGTTACCAACAAAAATACGTAAGACGCTCCGATTTACAACGCGGAACTCGATATCGAAAATCTTAAAAGGTTCCAATAAGTTCGCTTGACGCCATACTTCCAAACACTTTATAAAGGGAACAACAGACATTCAGGATTATAATTCTTTTCGTAAACTAGTCATAAATCGTGGTTTTGATCTAGTGTTTAACAGATATGTCGGTGCTCGTATCGTGAAGGACATTCTAGGATTTTACATTAAGATATCTCATTTAGGCTTGTAACTTACTTGAAGTCCTTAAGAATTGTAAGGTTCAAAGTTTCTTTAAAGCAACTTGCTTTCACAAAATTATAACTAATTATATTAGCCGACATTTTCGCATAAAAAAGGCCGAACTATAGACATTTTCAGCAACTTATACCTCAGTAAAATAAGTAGTTTGGTTCTAAGAACCAATCGGGAGGATGAGTGTATTCTACTTTTAAATGTTACACCTAAACTAACTTATATCACACGTTCTGTGGAAATTTTGTTTTGATTGTTATGCAAAATTAAGATAACGTAAAAATCAAATTCATTTTTAAGAACTAATAGCGTCACTATTTGTCCTTAATCGTAATTAGGAGAAAAGCTCTTTTTGGTACTTCAGCAGGAAGACTTACAAAACTCCAATAATATTGGCCTCATGAGTAATCGTAAATGGAAATAAAAGAGATTGGGCATCTCATTTTTTAAATTTCGATAAATTTTGGTTAATTTTGATACTATTTTAGACTATTTTAGTTTTAAAGTTTGCTTAAAAAACACATTCATATATTCTGCTCAAACAATCACAGCTCGTTTAGGATGGCAAATATATAGTAAATCAAGTATTATTGGCAATTATCTAAGCATGACACACCTGGAACAAATTGGCGAAAGCGTGGAAAAATGGATAGTATTTCGGAAAGAACGTCATATCCGCCCATAGCTCCCAGCTAGCCACCCCCAGCTGCGGGACACGTGCATCTTTTACAGCAACTAGGATTGCGAACAGAAGCATCAGTGCGTCAGAGGCGGCGAGTGCGATCAGATACATGTTCGTAGTGGTACCTCTCAGAAACTTAGAAGTGAGGACACCAATGGACAAAACGTTTCCAATAAATCCGATGCAGGATATTGTGAGGGTTGTTACACCCATGACATAATGTCCAATAAGATCTTTCTGATAAATAGATCTCAATGAGTCGTTCACAATATCAGATATTAATTCCACGGAATAATTTGAAAATCTCAAGGCCTCTGGCAGATCCGGGAAACTCGGTTCATGGTAATCTTCATCCATAGTAAGATGCGTAGTTAATGCTTCATTGTAAAGTTATTTCCGGAAATCCGGCTACCACGCAATATCATATATCAATTATTTGAAATTACACTACCCTGATGGATTATTGACCTCGTAGTATTAATGACGCGACAAAACAAACCAACGACCCCGAATAAAAACTTAAAGTGTACGTTTATAAATTATATTCTTATAAGGGTGAATGTCTACTTTATTCCAAAATTGCACGAGGTGGTAAGTGCCTCAAACAAAGGCCAGTGCATTAGCGGGAATTGCTTCAATTGTTAGCT